CAAAAATCACGTGCATGAATCCCCTACATTTTGAACCTCAAGTGTTAACATTGTGGTGTCCTTTTTAATGCACTGATGAAGCTCTTTAAGCAAATATACAAGGTCTGTTATAATTCTATGTTCTGGCAGCAGCATGTATGAATAGTCTTATGTGAACTGGCAACAACCAGGGATTAAAAGTATGACAGATTCCTCATATTAAAAAGGGTCAAACATGGGTTCAACATGTGATCATATTCGTGCATCAGGTTTGTGTGTGGATATTACATAAATAAGTCAGTGTCTCGCTTCGCCTCCCGTGGCTATCACTAGCCAGTAATGGACCTCCCTGTTAAGAATTGTAAGAGTGGGCCATTAAACCATCACATAGCAGTATGGCTAGGCAACAGTCTGAGCCAGAGGCTATTTATTTGGATGTGTCTATTTGTTGTTCCATTCCCTGAAGAACCCTACAGACTGCTGCTGCGGCATAATGGTGGAGTAGGACCTGTTTTTCCTCATGTCCTCATTCTGCAGCCTCTTATCATTGAGAAGGGTGAAATTACTTGGGTGTTTGTTAAAGGTAAATGGAGGAATGTTAACACTGATAACATGTTATCACAGAAGACTCATGTACTTCCTGAGGTATATTTCTGCAAATAGATTTCAGTTTTTTACAGAAAAATCATCATGAGATGTGAAAACATTAGCTGACAAATATAATTATTTAATATACTGCTTTAATGTACTGTTTTATTTAGATTCTAGCAGCTATAATGCCTTTATTTCCCTTAATATAATAATACTCATGGGTTGAGTTTAGTTCACAGATGTGCTGGCCTTTTTTTGGCGTGCAGTGCCTCAGGATATTCTCTGTATTTCTATCCCATCATGCCCCTATCTTAACTTCTGTCTTTGGATTTCCTCTGTTCACTGTGCTGTACCCTCATCATCTTTATGTCTCTAAGTTTCTGTTATCACTCGAGTGCTATAGGATTATAAGAATAGCTGCAGGGCATCATGGTTTTGTCATTTGCACTCTCATTGACTTCTTGTAATCATAATGTAATTACATTCCAGTCAAGCATTCTCATGAATTAAACAGCTACAATTTAAATGTAGTTCTGCATGGCTCTTCATCTCCCCTCTTCCCAGAGCCATCTCTGTCCTGACATAATTTAATTTATTCACAAATGGTGTTCTTGTCTGGGTGTACTTTATGTTGATGAGGACAGGGATAGATGAATATAGGGGTGTAACAATCAGCAATCTGTGGTACTGGTGGTGGTGGTGGTGGGGTAACAGGTGCAGAATGGAAGAGATGCGGTTATAGTGAGAAACATGTCATACACTCTTTCACACACACACACACACACACACGCACAAGTGCATGCACACATAGGTAATAGGAATTAGGAAATGACAGAAAACACATTAAAGAACCAAACTTTGCCAGCCAATCACATGCATTTTCACCCTTGGACCTACATAGTAACATAAAAGCATGTGAGTGTCCTCTTTAATTATCTGCATTGCAAACAGTCTTTCATCACTTTTTTTCTCAAATTTTATTTCCTGGATGTTTCAGCTCGGAGGGAGCGTTGCCGGGATTGCATTGGCACGCTTGGGCTTGCTCATCCCAGTGAGAATGTGTGTGTGTGTGTGTTGGTGTGTGTGTGACAGAGGGAGAGAGAAAGAGAGACACAGCAGGAGGAGGGGTGGCAAACAGGCTATTCTGTGGCTCAGTCACATGGGCGTCCACGAGAGGCAGGCAGAGACAGAGACTAGAGAGGCTGACTATCAATTCAGCTGAAAACACAGAGTCAAGCTGTGAAGATGCTATCCCACGCTTCAGTGATACTTGGTTATGGTATATAGGTTAGCTGTTGGTGTCTCAGCTGGTGAGGGACACACTGGTTATGTACTGGTTATAGTTGGGGCTTCCGAAGATATAGCCAGAAAGTGATATTTTATCATCTGTCATCCTTATTTGTCCTGAATTGTTCACTAGGGCAAAAATATCAGCACTGCTCTCTCAATTCGATTCGATTTTGATTCAGGGACGGAATGAATAAAGTGGAATCCTAAGCACTGTTGACTTTCGTGGACTCCACATCTCATAGCCAGAGATAATATCTCTTCAACAAACACAAACTGAGAGTTCAGATCAGTGTGCAGTTGTTTTTTTCAGTCTGTCCCTCTTATAGATACGATTTCTGGATTTGCTATGTGATAGCCTGAAGCAGCTAACCGTCCTGTGTCACGACAGTCACGTAAATGGTGGCAGGTCTGTATAGACTGTAATTATTCACATTGCAATTTACGAGACTGTCGTGACTCAAGGTGGCCAGTATAGCCACCAATCATCTACATTATATTATGACTTAAAATAACCTTTTTTTGCAGGTTTTAATAACTTAGTTGCCACAAAATAGATATTTTACACAACATGCAGCCCTAACTGAACCACTTACAACAAGTGACCATGCACATAACATTAAGCACAGATGTACATGTTTACTGAGAAAATTTTTACTGGAATTTTAAGAATTTGTATTGGGTCATTCAAATAAAAAATTAAATAGATTTATTCATTTATTGATTAGTTACTTATGTATTCAGCCTTATTGGTCATTTAAACGCATTTGTCAAAATGTCTTGTTTAAAGGCACAAAGCAGTGGCAAATAGAGCAAAAGACCTTTTTCACAGCAGACATTTTGACGTGTCATTGCAGAAAAATATATGAAAAAAAACATATGTAACTATTAAGATGAACATTTCCTGGTATTGTGTATGCGGGCTCACCATATTAATGTTATTAGGTTCACCTGTGCTTTTCCTCCTGTGACACGTCTGCTGTGAAAAAGGTTGATAGTGGTGATTAACACAAGACCTTTTTCATGGGAGACATTTTGAAATGTCAGTCGGAAAAACACAGGTGGAATTCATGTAATGGCTGTATTCCACTTAACGTGTTTCCTGGTTCACTGGAATACTGTATTGGGACATAGGTGGAATTAATAACACTTAATATTATTATTTCCACCTGTGCGTTTCCTGATGTGACCAATCAAAATGTCTGCTATTCATTTTTGTGGTGTACTTTTGCAAGCAGAACAATCATTATTTTTCACAACAAAATGTTTCTCTTTTCTTCTAAAAGAGGATATGCATTTTTCACAAAGGATATTTTGATATGTCACAGCAGGAAAAGCACAGGAGTAAATAATAAAACTAATAATGGCTGAATTCCACGTAGCTGCTTCAGTTTCAAGGTCTTGGTGTTCTTCATGCTGGATCACTGTCACGCTGTCAGGGCTTGTCTGCTGTAAAAAAAAAAAAGAAAAAAGAAAAAAGTATGTACTTTCAAATCTAATGCATCTATATCAGTGACCTAAAAAGCAGATCTAGTCCATCAAAAATAATTGTCATGTCATTAATAATAATAAAGCTGTTAAAACAGCCAGAAAATCTAGAAGTGAAAGAAAAATGGAAAGTGATTATATTTATATAATACATAAAATTAGGAATATCTCATCACTGATTTTACCCTCATTTATTTATTCACGACAGTCAGACTGTGCAGTTGCTGTTTTAAACATATTCACAGTTTCTTGATAAATTCCACCATCTGTGCGCCTGAGTGTGATATTGGTTACAGTGATAACAGAGAGGGAATTAATCAGCCTGACTGTAGTGCTGTCTGAATCTATCTCTCATCCCCTCATCCCCTCATTCTCTCTTTCCCCTTTCTTTATTCATTTGCTTTTGTTCTCTCTTTCCTGCCCTCCTTACTCTTCTCTGCATTATTATGCTGAGTGTCATACGTGTATAATCAGGCATCTATTTCAGGCCTTTTCAGGCGAAAACAGTCCTCTGATTGCATTTCTCTACTGCCTACATCCTGTTATTAGATAAAAGAAACTATCAGTGTACACACACACACACACATACACAAAACAATACCAGCCTCACTGTTGCGGCTGGTAATTATCACAACATAGTGTACAGTTGTTGTACTTCTGAAATTTGTTAGACGGCCATGTGTAATGTGTACAGTTTGCATTTTTGTGTTGTCAGCCTTTATAATATTATTGTATGTATGTTTATGTATTGTATATCTAACCCTTTACATTTAACCTAAAATGTGACTGGGGGATTGGATTGTACTGTTGGCTACAAGTGGATATTGTTTATCTCTTATTTTTGGCTTGTCTTGTCCAGTCAAAGCAATGCTAAGAGTCTGTAGCCATGCTCTGTCAGGCTGTACTGGGGCACAGCACTGCTCTGAATGCCAGCGTCAGCATGCCAACGTGCTTACAACGACAATGCTAATAAGCTGATGTTTTAGCAGGTGTAATGTTTACCATGTTCACCAACTCAGTTGAATATCTGCATATTAACTATAAAAACAAAATACAGCTGATTCTGATGGGAACTTAATAAGTTTTGTTTGGTCATAAACCACAGTATTGGACAAAGTCAGATATAGACCTGATGGTTATTAGAAATCATCCTGAGGGGACCAGGAAAGAGTGGGCCAAATGTCTTGGCAATCTATCCAATAGTTGTTGAGATATTTCATTAAAAGCCACAAACGTCAACCTGTCAGTGTTGCTAGAGGAAAAGTGAGGGGATCACCAAAGTCATTGGATCCATCCTCGGGGGACCATAATTGTCTGTGCAGAATTTCATGACAATCCATCAAATACATGTTGAGATATTTCAGTCTGGACCTGAATGATGGACCAACAAACTGACATTGCCATACCACAATACATGTGTGCGTGTTTAAATAGGACTCTGTGCCCTTGTGGCTGATGTTACTGTTTCCTGTGGTTCCTCTAGCTGACAGCTCCATACTTGTGTTTGACACTGTTATTACATAATGTTGGACTGCCGCGTCCACCCTTTGGGATTCATCCTTGTCGCAGAGAGAACTAATGATGCTGAGTAATGGAGCCTCACGACTAACACTGTCAGCTCTCTCTCTCTCTCTCTCTCTCTCTTTCCCCCTCAGATGCTGCTGCTAAGAAAGCCTTCATCACAGAGGTGAGCTGCCGTCCGTCCCCGTGATCCTCTGCTTTGTTATTCTTCTCTCTTTAGTTCATGTTTGATCAACCACATCAATATCTACTAGTTCTTTGATTTTAGCCAGACACTAGTGAAAACCACGCTTGTTGCATTAAGACTGCCACAAATGTCACTATACCAGTACCAGAGAGTTTAATTTAACAAAATATTTAAATGTCACTTAAAGTATTCTTGTCTGTGCTGGACAGCTTGGCTCACATTATCTTAATCCTCCTAATTTGATAAGTCCCATCCATCTGACACTTCACCACAGTACTGTACGCTAAAGCAAACATTTAGAAGAATTGGACGATTTTTTGAATTTTAGTTTTGATTCTACTTGCCAGTGTAAACGAAAAAGCTCAATGAACATTACTTACAACAGCATCAGCAATATGTACGTGAGATGTCAAGCTTTGAGATCGAAAACATTTCATTGCAGTGTCTATCATTGAAACAGTTTTTTTTTATAAAGCAGATTAAATTCTCATTCTGTGCACAGTCTGGGTTTGATTGATGCAGAGAGTTAAGTTTCACTAAATAAAGATGCTAAGAACACATGAACCAAAGTTTGCATTTTGCTTCAAAAGGAGCACCTGGGCTGCTCATTGAAAAACATCAAAGCTTTAAAATTGCTCTCATGCCTTAATACTGTGTCAATCCCCTTTTTTGATATTTAAATAATCAATTTTAATGAACAGGTGCAAATCCTCCTGTCCCCATAACACAAATCTCTCTCTCTCTCTCTCTCTCTCTCTCTCTCTCTCTCTCTCTCTCTCTCTCTCTCTTTGTCATCAGATGCCCTCATCCTCAGGCCAGCCTGGTCAGGGAAAGAAGATTGGTCACAGAGGAGTGGATGCATCAGGAGAGACTACTTACAAGAAGGTAACACAGACGACACATGGCAGCATGTTTTCTGGTTGAAAACAAGTTCTTTGCTTATTTTCCCCATAAAAAGAACCTGAGAGAGAAACATCTGAGAAATTATGTATTTTTAAGAGACATTTTTGATGCCAATTGACAATAACTTTTCTTTTTACTCTGTATAGGATTGTGAAGTGTGTTTTATTTCTCTAAAGTGATCTGCTCTACCTCAGAATAGGACTCTATCTCACTCACACCACTTCTGCCTCTGTCACCCACAGACCACATCCTCAGCCTTGAAAGGTGCCATTCAGCTGGGCATCGGTTACACAGTGGGCAACCTGAGCTCCAAGCCTGAGAGGGACGTGTTGATGCAGGACTTCTACGTGGTGGAAAGCATCTTTTTCCCCAGGTCTCAGCTGCAAACACACACATACAAAACATACTACAGCAGTGAATTTCCAGTGCACAGATGGATAATACAGTATTAATGCATGTTGCTGGAGTGGATTTTTTTGTTGTTGACTGATTCCTCTTTGATGTTTTCTGGAGAAAAATCTGAATTTGATTTCTGTCTTCTGATGCTCTGTACTCTAGTGAAGGCAGCAACCTCACTCCAGCCCACCATTTCCCCGACTTCCGCTTCAAAACATACGCTCCTGTGGCCTTTCGCTACTTCAGAGAACTGTTTGGCATCAGGCCAGATGACTACCTGGTAAGATTTAGTCTGTTGTTTGCTCATTGCTGTGCCAGTGTTAGGGATGGGATCGAGAACCAGTTCCAGTTAAGAACCGGATGCAAATTGTCCCAAAGATTGGAATCGTATGCCCTCGAGCTTATCAATTCTTTATCAATGCCAGCATGTTGTTCAGCATTTTCAGTTGCTCAATGCAAAGCAATGATATCGAACTCATGCATCTGTGCTGCTGGAAACTTGCAACAAGACTGAATCATGTTGGAGAGGAAGAAACAGTTTAACGTGTGGCTTTATTTCATGAAGACTGATGACAGTGCTACTTGTGGTGTCTGTAAAATGGTTATTTACAAGTAACGGTGGAAACATCAGCAATATGCTGACACATCTTTCTACATATCATGGGCTTAAATTTCAGGAACACCATGTATTTGACACTCTACACACGAGTGCCACTGCTTATATCTCATGTTACAATGAGATTATCGCCACGCAGGCAGGCTTAGCTTAGTTTTTCAGACTCACATAAAGAATCGAACCGAAAATCATTTTATTGGTATCAATAAAATCGTATCAATTCCCATCTCAAATCGGTATGACTTAAAGTGAATTCTTACCCCATGGATGCTACACACAGTCTCCAGGAAATGTTCAGATTAGAACTATATTATGAAAATATAAGATTGTATCCACTCAAAACAATCGGAGAGCAACAATTAGTGATGTAAGTAGATCATCAAGTGAGAACGGATAACAAAGTGTAAACATTAAAAATGTAAAGGGCAGCAAAAGAAAAGAAAAAAAAAAACTAAGGCTAACTTCGACACGTGTGGAAGACAGGTGGGATGTTAGGAGAGAGCTGTGAGAAACCATGAGATAGCACAAGAGAGCGCAGAGTGGAGGAGAGAGGATGACTTGGGAGAAGGAAGGAAGGTCTGCAGCTTGTCTCTCCGCATCAGTGTGGAGGACCTGGAGGTTTGCGTGATTCACCGCTCTGCTCTGAGCGGTCTAGTAGATTGTACATACACTGCTTAGACACTGTTTATGCATGTTCCATGTGCATTTGTCTTTAATGTATTGGTACTGACACATGGATACACACTCTTCCTGCTTGTCCATACAAGTGTGCTGTCATCGATTTTGCACCTGACTCATTTTCTTAGTTGATGAGAAATTAAGATCTAGTTCTTTCCTCTGTCTTTCTTTATCTTGATCCATGTGCACTTACTCACTGATTTACTGTTTACCAGCGTGTGCTAACATTAGACTTTCACAACCTCAGAGGGACACGGTGCTCTGATCGAATCTGATTGGTCTGATCAATAGATAGTGTTGTTAATCAGAGCACTCAGGTTCCTGTGATGTGACTCTCTTCCAGATACATGGTTGCTGCTCATTACCTGATCCTAAATCTAGACCTCTTAGACCTCATATTACATTCATAGTAGTAGAGTAGCCAACATTGCTGGAGTTTCTCCACACGTTTCCATAACGCATTAGTTTTCCGTAGAGGTCTTAATGAGGTGTTTGGGAGGAGTGTCTTTAAAAGCTGGGCGCCGTGTGCTCATTCATTCATTTATGTCTAACACGTTTGGCATGTACGTTGCTTTGGGTGTAACCAGGGTTTTGAGTAAGAAACACAAAATCCTTAAACACGACTGCCAAGCAGACAGAGTAATAAGACTAAAGAGCTATTACATAAACAGCACAAGAATAAGAGACAAACCTGAAACTATACATGTATTAAATACATGTGTGAATTGTGTAAAACCAGTCAACCTCATGTCAGTCAGCACACTCTGACTTAAGTGTGGAAGATCGATAACGATGCTGTAACCAGGTTGGGGCTGATGTTCACAGACAGCAGATCTAACAAATTGTGATGTATTCATATGGGAAGTTAAAGAATGCGTAATGTTCATGTTGATCACGTGATTCTGATCTGACATCTTCACAGTGTTAGTCACGATTACTTTGTAGTGTTTAGCTTATAGCTGTAGTTGCACACACTGCATTGGCTTAATATCTTTTTAGTAGTCCTTTTTGTTACAGTGGGCTACCACATGACTTTGCTGCTAACAGATAAAGTTTTCATCGTGAACATATTCATCACTTACATTTCCCAACACAATTTCATCACCTTTAAGGTGGTTGAATTAGATCCTCAAAAAGACCCTACCTTTCCTTCCTGTTAAATTAGGCTTCTCGGTGGGAAGATGATGAGAACATCCGAACTTGACTTGTGCATGCCACAGTATGCATGTGACCGTTTCCAGTCAGCCAGCTAATTTTCCAGCTATCACGTGTTCAGTTGTTTTTGATGTGGTAAAAATATGTGAAATGAAATGTGAAAAGTGAGCCATTAGCCAAAGGGAGGCGGAGGAAGCTTCACCTCTTTCAAAAATGTCTGTCATTACTTGCTTTTAAGCTGCGGAGAGAAATGGAGAGAATAGGCTGTGTAACTATCATATCAGAAGGAAACTGATGTGTGTATTAACAAACAAGTCTAGTATATAATCATCAACAACATCAGAGTTCTGTTTCCTGTCCACTCTGTCTTTCTATGAATTTGCTGCTGTTGCTATCTTCTATCCTTGCCTCTTTTTTCAGCTGTTCTTTTTCCATGAAATTAGATTTAGATGGTTCAGAATAGTACAGACGGGTTTCCTGGAAAAGACAGGAAAAGTTGTTATTTGTTCCATGTTCCTTAAATAACAAGACAATGCAAGGGACAGAGAGGTGTGGCTGCCCAGGGGAACAGCTTTGGCATGTGACATCAAACCAGATGGCTTTATGTGGAGCAATTTTCCATAAACACTAACTAATATATATTAAACAACTATATATATAACAACTGTAATTTCATTTGGATTAAGTTTGAGTGCAGTTTTGCTTAATACCACTTAATCACTTTGTTTAAGGTTTTTCAAATTTTCTAAAATCACTTAATCTGTGTTTCTGTGTACCTGCAGTACTCTCTGTGTAATGAGCCCCTGATCGAGCTGTCCAATCCTGGAGCGAGTGGTTCAGTCTTCTATCTCACAAAGGACGACGAGTTCATCATCAAGACTGTGATGCACAAGGAGGCTGAGTTTTTACAGAAGCTGCTTCCTGGATACTACATGGTAAGCAAGGACTGTGTGTGAGTGTGCGCGCAGTTAAAGGGTATGAATAGGAATGTAAACAAGATGTTCTTTGACAGTATATCTAGAGAATGATTTGAAAAAAATAATTTTTAAATGAAAAAATCCATATCAGCTGTATGTCAACGTTCGATGAAAACAAAATGTGAAGTCAGAACAGCTGTGTCACTGTATTTCAGCTGTTTTAGATTTTTTTTCTGAGCTTTAACTCTTACTTACTCAGGTCCAGTAATCTTCCCCTTTTTTCTCTCATGGTAGGCATGATGCATGCAGAGTAATATATGGTTAATAAGTATTGCTCATGCGTACCAATATTATTCACATGCAGAGCAATAACCCTGTCTTGATACTATTCAGTTGTCAAGGCACATGCACATACAGTGAACACAGATTTATACATCCTGTACAAAAGGTGGGGAAGCCTGTCAGTGTGTTCATGTGTCTCGGTCTGAATAGGCCACCGCACACATGCAACTCTCAGACATTTTAAATGCCAACCTCTCCTTATGTTCTTATTTTGAGTCATACTTTTTAGATCTCAGGTTTATGTAAGAACCCAGAATTCTCTCTCCTCCCAGCGTGACATCAACAGCTCTATCATCTCCGACTGAAACCTCAGGCCATGCGGTTTCATAAGAGACCGGCCGAATGTACTGTACTTAAACCTAACAGAGCATGGCTCGCACCAACAATATCCCCCTCCCTCCTCTCCAGTCTGCAGGCTCGTTCTGAATGAAGTCAACCTGCAACAGCTCCATGTATGTCCATGCTACTGCTCCAGCCTCCAGAGTTCACGGTCCTCGGTCTTGTGTTTGTTCATGTGCCGCTGGCCGTGGCCAAAGACCATCGCAGGAATTCATTTAATCATTTAGGGATGCGAAAGGCTCAGCACATTTTCGGTGACCTTTTCCATCGTTGTGGTTGTGCTCTGAAGCATTTTCACAGGTGTAATTGGTCTAAGAAAGAGGCGTAATGAGAGTAGAGAGATTCAGGCTCATGAAGGCTGGCTGTAGCCTAAGGTCAGAGCAAGTGGACTAAGGAGACAAGACTGACTGAAAAGCACAAAAAACACAACGTAGATGGACACAAATACACGGATTCACAGAAACAACAATGTAGAGACGGGATAAACAAAAGAAACTGAAACTGACTGGAAAAACAGACAACATGCAGATAACGGACAACAGATACCATGCAGGCAGTCATTGGTGGAGCTCCACATGTCTTCCACAGCTGACTGGCTGATGGTAGTTGGCTGGCTGAGGAGTCTCGCTCTGGGCAGCGTACAGCTCACAGTGATGTAACCAACTCTTTCCCTTCTGTGTATGTGCTCTTCTATTATAAGGCTAGTCTCTCCGTTCCCTCTCACGTTTTAATGTCTTATCACTCTCCCTGCCTCTATGACACTCTTGGTGTAATTTATTTTCCTTTATCTCTCACTCTGCCGCATGTTTTAATCCACTCTTTCCCCTGATTCCCTTTCACGCTCATTTGTTCTCCATCCCTCTCTCCTCTCTCTCCTCTCTCTCCTCTCCCTCACGTGTCTGTGTTGTTGGCTCGTCACTGCTCTGCCCTCTTAACATTGACAGAAGGGTCGTATGTGGCTGACGGCAGAGAATGCTCTTTCTCTCTCTCTCTCTGTCTCTCTCTCTCTCTCTCTCTCTCCCTGTATCATCGTGTTGCAGCTGAAGGTCATTCACGAGTGCTGGGCCTTTTAGCCACACTTCCACATTCATCGTTCATCTCTCCTCTGTCTGCTCCTCTTTCTTTCTCCTCTTGTAGTTGTACTCCCGACCGAATGCTGTGCGTTATCACTATATGATCCATTGCTCTCTCTCTCTCTCTCTCTCTCCCATTCTCTGCTCTCATCTCTCTAATGGGTCTGTGCTGGCACAGGTCCCAAGGTCAAAGCAGGTTTTTAACTGAGCACACAGCCCGACTAACCTCATTTGTGTGGATTGACTACTGAAATATTCAGCACAGATTGGTGATGGAGGGGAGAGGCCTGTATGGAGTAAAGGCAGGACCATTTTAAAAAATAGGAAAAGTTACTCGTTAAAGTTCATAAAAAAATGTGTCCATGTTTCAGTTGAATTTGTTATCGCATCTAGAGAAGCATTATGGATGACAACAAACGAGCTAAAAGAATATTTACAAAACTAACTCTAACTAACTAACTAACTAACTCCTCAATGTTAATCCTCCATCCTTTTCCTAATGCTGGCTGGATCCTAACCCTGTGGCTTGATGGTAACCAGACTAGGCAGCATTGTAATCACAGTTTGAGTCTGTCCACTTTCATGTATCATAGCACTGTGAGAAAACTCTTGATTTGTGTTTGCTCTGCACTCTGGTGTGATCAGATGACACATGTGTAACTGTAGCCAAAGTGTGTGTACACTGAGAAACGAGTATTGTTAATAAATTAACTGTCTGCACAACACGTATCACCTATCACATTGCTCATGTATTTTTTATTCCTTAACGGTCCTATGAAATGAAAGACGCCTCTTGTCTCTTGAGTTCCTGGTTATTGTGTTGTACGCAAAAAAATGTCAATTTTTCCACATACACTTGTATCAAAATCTCAACCTCTCGGATCCTGCACAGCATCAAGAACAATATCTTTGGCACATCTTGCTCTCAGGGACATATATATATATATATATAAAAAAAAATCAGCCTTGTAAAATATGATTATAGACATTTCCCCACATAAACTGAGATTTGTGTTGGGTCTTTCCTCAAGATCCTGTCAGAGCACAGCAGCTCAAACCAATTTATGAGACCTTTTAAAGATCTTCTGCTTTCTCCCTCTCTTCTTGTGCTCCCTTTCTCCAGAACTTGAATCAGAACCCCCGCACTTTGCTGCCCAAGTTTTTTGGCCTGTACTGTGTCCAGTCGGGCGGGAAAAACATCCGCGTGGTGGTGATGAACAATGTCCTTCCCCGCGTGGTTCGCATGCACCTCAAATACGACCTGAAGGGCTCCACCTACAAGAGGCGAGCGTCCAAGAAGGAGAGGGAGAAGGCCAGGCCCACTTTCAAAGACCTGGACTTCATGCAAGACTTGCAGGACGGACTGATGCTGGACCAGGACACTTACAACGCGCTCGTCAAGACCCTACAGAGAGACTGCCTGGTAAGACAGATGAAGGGGAGACGGAGAGAATACAGTACAGCTGCTACGTAAAGACGTCCATTTACATTTTTCTGTTGCGACAGGCGTGAGAGAGACATGGCAGGATGGAGAGAGTATGAGCTGAAGGGGGAGATGGCGAGGATGGTTCACTGATTCTGAAGGAGGATCCATATAGCACCCTGATCAAGAGTCTCCAGATAGAGGGAGTAACGGTTAGAGGGAAGGATTAGAGGGAGGGTAGAAGGAAGGATAAAGTGATGCCATAATGCAGTGTGCCAAAGGGAAAGAGACAGATAAAAGAGACGTAGAGTAAAGAGGAAATGGAGAATAGTAAAAAAAAAAAAAAAAAAAATCAGGGTACTGATGGTGCCCTGATCAACAAAAGAGGATCATGAATGGGAGTCTATGGAGGGAGAACGGAGGGCAGAAAGAGACTATTTATGAGAGTTTTTGGCATTTCCAGGATCCCTCACTATAAATTAGAGCTTTCTTTATGAGCATGAGGTTTAAACAAGGTGTCAGGTGTGGTAGCAGGCCTGTTCTTGTCTCCCGTAAATCACCACCTCACATTTACATTCATAGGGAGTGTGCTGGGAGGGAGTGTATGCTCACACGCATGCTCTCTCATACATTGTTTATTCATGTGTGCATGCTTGTGCATCACTGTGTCTTATGTATGGCATTAACATCTCCAGTGTTACAGCTCTCACTCCCTCTGGTGCTGATACTGTTATGCACTCTAGATAAAAGCTTTCTTTTATACAGCACGTCTGTCAATCACTGCACACTTACATCTGTCTGTATATGTCCTTTGCTCAGGTGCTGGAAAGCTTTAAGATCATGGACTACAGCCTTCTGCTCGGGGTTCACAACATGGACCAGGCGGAGAGGGAGAGGCAGATGGAGGGCTCCCAGGGCGGCAGCGATGAGAAGAGGCCCGTGGCCCAGCAGAAGGCCCTGTACTCCACAGCCATGGAGTCCATCCAGGGAGGAGCAGCCTGCGGAGGGTCCATCGACACTGATGACACGTGAGTTTAGCCAGACAGACAAGAGGATGTTGGCAGCACAGGTCGGCGCTAAATGTCACTGCTGGCACATATTAATAATAATAAACACAGTGGAAAATAAATTAATAATGATGAATCTTTATTCAACTGCTTTTAGTGCTTAAACTTCAACTGCAACTTCCATACAGTATTTTACAAGCAAATCATTTTAGACATTTTAACCTGTTCAGTCTGTAAACTTGTAATTTTCAGAGTACGTAGGGGAACTTTTTCACATTTTTTTCAGAAATTTTGCCTCTTCTAATCTAAGAAGTGAAAAATTAAAAAAAAAACACTAAATGAGGTAAATTTCTGCATGAAAACTGGCCTATAAAAGGAAATTTGAGAAACAATTTAAAAGGTGATCCTGAAGCAGGTTGATGACAGACAAAAAACTACATCTCAGTTTAGACGTCCAAATCAAATCGTATCAGATTTTCTGTCCACAGTTTGGAAGACACAGTAGATCTGAGTATCAGCACCTTCGCAGTGCAGTGGACTCCGTGTGGTTATGGGATTATGGATTATTTGGTCAAAGGTGAATACTTACAGTGACAAAAGGATTGGATCAAGAATTGAGCTCTGCAGGACTCTGTATGTGATGTTCACTTAACAGGACATTGAGCCGTCAGAGGTGGAGGAGGAAAAATGAACCAGAGCGGATAATAACATCCCGGTCTCTAAAGATGTAGTTCTCAAGAGTGCAGGACTTATATAGATCTTCAATGTGTAATGAGTGCCATTAAGTCACTGATACTCGGCTTGAGACAAAAAGTGTTGTACTAAGTTAGTGATTCAAATAAAGTTTAAGAGGTCACAAATAGTGAACACTTCCTGTAATAAAAGCCTTAACCTGCCTGCTGGATCTAGTTTTTGTATAACAATAGCTTCCAAATACAAGTTGGTACTGCAGGAGTTTAATAATGTAGTTTGGTACTGGCAATCATTACTTAAGGATTTGTGCAAGATCTGGTGAAAACCTGCCCAAGTGTCTGAAGTCTGGATTTGATGATCAGATTTGGACAGATAAATGAATGATTCACAGGATCTCTTCTCACATCACAGAGCACAGCTGAAAACGTTGTTGTTCTTTTGCTGTCTGAATGACACCCTTACAATGCCGTTGTATTCTCCTTCTCGTTTTAGGATGGGCGGTATCCCAGCTGTCAATGGAAAGGGAGAGAGACTTCTTCTCTACATCGGAATCATCGACATCCTGCAATCCTACAGGTGATCATCACAGTGATTTACATGTAGTCACTCCTTCAGCTTTACATCCTACAGTATGACACAGGCTTGAGGCCACATCTCTCTGCGTACATACTATACCTTCACATTGCAGCAGTACACTGAAGCAACATAATTACATCAGACAGCACATTTAAGGTTCTCAGCCTACAGGCATGTTGCTTATATTCAATATGCCTATGACCCTAATATATAAGACATGTTTACCATCACTTTGTTAAACTGTGCTTCTCTTTGTTTCTGCAGGCTAATCAAGAAACTGGAGCACACGTGGAAAGCTTTGGTTCATGACGGGGTGAGTTTTTAATAGCTCTGTGCATAGAGACAGCCAGTCAGATGCAGGAACATGAACTATACTGTGCACACAGAAGGTCAGCCAAAACATATGAACTCTTTTCCAATCAGGTAACAGAAGAATATCATTTTATCTTTTATTATTATATTATTCAGACATCATTCGCGACATGTCTGGCAGTACACAGAGGAACAACAGTTACATTTAGCTTGTACCAGATATGATTAACTGTAGCCTCGAGCTTTATTTGTTTTCGGTTCTTTGTGTGTACAAGGACTTTTATTAGCTTCATGTCAGGGAAACTTTATTGGTTTGAAGAAGAACTTGTCCGTCCGTGTGAATTTTCATCTTCAGCTCATCTTCAGCTCATCTCCTACCTCATCTGTCCATCTCAATCCCCCTCAACCTGTAAACCTGTGAACATGCCCCTGCTCCATTCGCTCCACCCTCCCTTCTTCTTCACACAGTTATTGTAGAAGTCACAGCGAGCAAGTCTATTTAGAAATATTAATGTCTGTGTGCTTGTGTTTGTGGATCAAAGCTTATTTGAAGCCAGCTTACAGCGGAGCTATGGATTACTCAAATGTTAATTATATGCCTATCACCAGCCACAGTTGTCTTTTATGGAGCAAATATTTTAATGTTGCTGTGTACTCCATATAAGTTGCTCCTCATTGTTTTCTGTCATTGTCAGAAAGATGACCCATTACTGAGCTTTGCTCGTTGTAAATCACCTTTATGGTCAGTCAGCCTTTATTGAAGTAACAGGGAGAGACACACAGTGTTGTGTGAACTGGAATTAGTGGCACACTCTCCTGCTGTCATGGAGATTGGACAATTTTACTATTTTATTTGAATTAACAGTGTTCCCGAAACAAACCCCTATTTAGAAATGTGTGTGGGCATCAAAATAAAACATTTTAATATCAACAAATCAAGACCCCGTTAATTTAGACACATAGGTTTACTTCCACAAACAAAACGAGACCAGTGCTATGAAGACTGGCAGCTCTGACCAGCCTACACACGACATTTTTGTTGTGTGCTGCCAGCTCTGATCTCGGTGGAAATTTGGTACTGTATATCACTTACTGACTCAAGAGAGACTGATTTACTTAACAAAACAGAAAGAGACACTCATTGTTGAGTAAATGTAGCTAAAGCCATCAAAGCGAAAAAGCAAAATGGTGGCAGAAAACTTCTTGTACTGGAGACGTCGATCAGAGCCACAAAGTTTGTGGGAAGTGTGATAGAAAACACGAGACTACCATTTGTGTCGACCTTGTTTATTATATCAATTTATTTTCAGTAATTATTCCAAGCTATCACACACTGAAGGTGACCAGAGATTTAACTGTTGTAGATATATTGACACTTAGGGATGAGTTCTCTTAGTCTCTCTGCTCAATCAACTCCAGATCCCTCAGCTCTGAAGCACCTCACGTCTCTTCATCCACTCTCTGTACATCATCAGCAATCTGATCTCAAGACCGAATCAGCCATATCACCCCCCTGACTCTATCACACACCGCTTACTCACGCCACTTTCCTACTCTGTAACACACTCGTACGCAAGATACAGTATGTGTGGGAGAACACGCAACCTCCGTGACAGCCGCCTGTGCGTCACTGCTGATGATGATAGTGGATACTCCACACTTCTCTCTGTGATACATACAGTTGGCTCGGTTGCGTGAATGCATTCAAAGATGTTACTCATAGTGGACTCCAGTGGTGCTGATTCAAAAAGCTAACAATAACTGTGTAGGGTCTGTCTCCTCCAACAATCCTCTCCTGTCTCAGTCTAAACCAAACACCAAGTGTCATCTGTCAGTCTGCTGGCAGTGTGATCTCCGTCTGCTGCCACATAAATAATGAAGAGACGTGTCTGTAGCCTCGTGTGACTGTGTCTGTCCATCATTTGTCTTTTATTATGTGTTGTCCCGTCTCATGGATTGACCCAGAGAAAAGAATTACTGAAATGGGACACGAAGGGACTAGTAGTCGTTTAATCTACTGTAAGCACTGGTTTGATCATTTTATCCATGCACCACTTGTCTCATTAATCTCTCTGTCTTTTTGTGTCTCTCCTCAGGACACTGTATCAGTCCACCGGCCTGGCTTCTATGCAGATAGGTTTTTCAAGTTCATGAGCAACACGGTGTTCAAGAAGAGTTCCTGTGAGTTAAATTTACATCGAGACACTGCCTTACATAGTCAAACAGAGCTGTGTGGGAAGAGCCACAGACGCAAATGTCAGATGCCAGGCTTTTCTCTCTTTTACTGCCAAGCTTTGACAGCAAAATCAGAGACAGTAGCTTACAGCCTTATTAGGTGCTGCTTCATGACATGTGAGAGAACTGCATCAGTTTGATCCTTGTGCAGCTTTCTTTTGCAGCACTTTACAATGATTTTTGCAAAGGGAAAGAATTCCCTGCAACAGGACTTTAAACAAACATGATGTGTGATTTCCTACATATCCCAGAATGAGATCCAACATATTATCCTCTAAAGAGGGGGTTGTTGGAATAAAGGGTTTAGTTCAAATTAAACCTTTCAATCTGACAGCACAGCATACCATATCACACATGTTTTCCCAAGTCGATGTGTTCATGTTTTTTGTCCCTCAGCTCTGAAGTCATCTCCATCCAAGAAGGGTCGAGTGTCGTTGATGGTGCCTAAGTGCGCTGGTCCTGGTGCAGCCTGGTCAGCCAGCCAGCTGCCCTCTGAGAGGGATGAGAACATCTACGACCTGAGAGGAGCTCGCAGCTTCCCAACACTAGAGGATGAGGGTAAGTAACACAGTTGCAGAAGATAAGAACAGACGCCACTCAGAGATCCATAATTTACCATCCGCTGTCACTATGGGGCATCAGTGTTCCATCACTATGTCACTGTGGGGGATCAGAGTTTGACTTTGACTGCAGGCAGTCAAAGAGAAGTTCTTCTTTTCCAGAACTTAGCTGTTGGTCTTTGTAGAGGTCACTACATTACAGTTCAAAGTGCAGCTTCAGTCCACATGACATGACAGTCATTTACAGTCTTCTTTTGTAAACAGCAACACCACTGATCTTTCCAGCCCTTGGTCAACAACAGGTTTGTAGCTGTTGCCATGGGAAACAAAAGGCTACAGAAGCAGAATAGCACTTCAGAAGACATAAGGTAAATGTGAAATACTAAAGAAAAAGAAAAATTGTTTGTTTCTCTCTATCTCTCTCTGTGTCCTCCAGGGCGACCAGATCTTCTTCCATGTACTCCTCCATCATTTGAAGAAGCCACCACAGCGTCAATCGCCACCACTCTGTCCTCTACCACCTCTCTGTCCATCCCTGAGAGATCCCCATCTGACACAGCAGAGCACCCCCGCTACAGGTAAAAACAAACATGCACACACATAAACTGAAACACCAGAGTCAACCATTTCAATTCCAGTCCTGTCGTTAGCAGAGCTGACATTGTATTTATTATTAATCTATTTTTTAGTATTAAATACAATATATTCAACATAGTCTCGTTGGGCTAAAATAAAACTTTCTTTTTCCTTTTTCAGTGTTGTTCTGTTTTGTGTTGACTTGTCTCCATAATAGCATATCCGTGTTTTTCTGGGTTAATCTGACTAAAATCCTCAAGTCACAACTTAAACAGAAAAAATTCACATTACTGCATCAGTAGTTATTTATGTGAATGTTTTAAGAGCCACACCCAATATGCTGCAGGTCTCAAGTGCAGCTTGTACTGACACTCTGTCCTCTGTCTCCAGGAGGCACACCCAGTCTCTCAGCCATGATGGGAGGTGAGTCGGGACCATGAATGCTATTTTCACTTCATAAACCTTTTTAAGCAGAGTTCACTCAGCTGGTTTTTTTTATGATGTTTTGAGTTTTGCTAGCTTTATGTTTTCACAGCATTACACATTGCAGGGTGTGGTGGAAGGTTAGAGGAGAAATGCGAGGTCAGCCTGTTGGTTGGTGTGTTTTATGAGTAAGCCCATTCTTCCTGTTGCTAAGATGTGGCTGTGTGTGTTTTTCACATGTGTTTCATTTCCTCTGTGTGTGTGTGTGTGTGTGTGTGTGTTTTTTTATACGTGTGTCTGTTTGTGTTCAGGACCCAGGAGGAGCTACGTGTGCGTGAGGAGGATCAGCAGACCATCACAGTGGAGGTGGAGTTGAAGAGACATGACAGTGAGCCCACCATCTCTGTTCCACAGCCCTCGTCTGAAACCAGGTACGTAAACCTCCCTGCAGACACGATGTCATTTAAAATAATAATAACAAAATAATAGATAAATGTACTTATTGTAGCTCTGTTTACATGAGCCCAGTATAAGTAACACAACTGTAACCCATGTATTCAAATATCACTCAGTTTAGTGAAATATTCCAAACATAAACCATGAGATCATGGGGTCACTCACTAATTCACTGTCAGTGGACCAGCTGTGGTCTGAAACACACACAAGATCATCAGTGATTATTATATTGGCTTTACTGCTTTACTACCTGAGCATATTACCATATCACAATGTAAACTGTGTTTTATGGTTTTATGGAATTTCCATTCACCTTGTCGCAGGTTATGGCCTTCGTATCAACATGGCTATTGAGCAGTTCACATAACAGTGACTTTTCTTTATCACATTGTTGAATTTGTTGGGTTTTCAGAAATCCGAAGAGATCTATTTCACAAGAAATGTGTCACGTTTAGCTCACCCTCAAACACTGGCAACTTTCCATAATGTTGAATGTCTGCCAGCGATCACCAAATGGACCAAGAATAATAAAAATGACACACACAGCTCGGTACCGTTTTCACCGTAAATGACAAAAATAGTCAGCTCTGTCATACGCTTCATGTAGACATGCGACCCTGATAGAGAATAGATGAGCTGTAGAGCTGCAGTGAGTCCTCCATGACCCCAATCATCATTTGATGTGGCAATATAAATAACCTGCTGCCAGTGTCTCACCTGGGCTTTAGCCAGCTGTTAGATTAGCACACCTCACCTGTCTCACACAGACAGACACACACACACACACACACACACACACACACACACACACACACACAGTTTCTAACATGACACACTGAGAGCAGCTTGACCCATTTGTCTATTGGGCGGCTCAGGGGTCTCCGGTTATGGACAGATAAATGCTACAGGCACTGTGTGGAGCAGGCATCTACTGCACAGTAATTAGGTTATGAGAGTGTGCACATGCATGTTAGTCTGTGTATTATGTGAGCTGTGTGTGTGTGTGTGTGTGTGTGTGTGTGTGTGTGTGTGTGTGTGTATGTGTATGTGTGTTTTCTTTTAATGGGGTAACACTGTGAGGCAGACAAGGGGCCGAAGGGGCCCTGACATGGGGGAACCAGCCTGTAGAAGTAGGGCAGTGGGGCAGGAAGCCTGCAGGCCTGGGGCTGCTCCCATAAAGCCGGCATGACCTGACACTTTGCATAATTTAACCTGATTTTTAATTGATTCAAGTTAATTGGTTTCAGTAGAGACATCTAAAAAAAAACACAACATCGTGTGTAAGCCATGTGAAATAATTTCTGAGCAGAACCAAACAGAGCTGTTGCAATGCAATAACAGTGGGACTGACATTTTCTGTAAACTGGGGTTAGGTCAGTGAGGATTAGGGTTTGGTTACTGAGGGAAACCAACTGAATAATTGGGTCTGATGCTGAGAAGGCAGTGGCTAGACATATGGCCTGGGGGCCTAGAAGGAGCTGGTGGGGGTGGGGCTGGGCGGTGAGAGCAGCTGAGACAGCGACAGTCGATTAAATCTGTCTTCTCCGAGCAGCCTCAACTCACCTGCAGTTGTGGAGCGGGTTGACTGGGAGAGAGGAGAGGGAGACGAAGCAGAGGAATGGGAATAGGACAACTGATTGGAAGAGAAGACGAGTAGAGAAAGTGATTTGTGAAGAAAGACTGGGAGTGAGAGAAAAACAGTTGAACCGAGGAAAGGAAGAGTTGCAAAAGAGAAAGGACAAAGACAGAGAGTGACAGCATCAGTTCGAAAATATATGTATAGTTTAATGAAGATATATTTAGCGGAAATGAGAGACGGGGTGAAAGAGCCTTTTTAAATGGCAACCACCACCATCCTGTCCTCCTCATTTATTCAGCCAATCAGTTCCCTCTTTGAGATGCCAGTTCGACTTTTTTGCCTCAGTGGCCAGCAGGCAGGCTTTTCCTCTGATGGAGTTAAGCTAGACACAGAAGCTGAGAAAGCTATGTGGATGCGCCTAAATCCTTTCTAATAGTTGATGATCTGGCCAGGAACAATGAAGGATTGTGGCAGCACACAGCCAGCTGGCAAATCTTTGCTTAAGCAGCTAAACCACAAACACCCACACACACACACACACACACACACACACAGATGTTACATTTCAGTCAGAGCCAGTTTACTCTAATAGGTTGGTCCTGTTTCTCTGGCCTGCTGCAGGAAAATGGCTTTTGGCAAGTGACCCAATTAAAGGCTCTTAATGTCTGCAACTGCTGTGTGTGTGTATATGTGCAACCAGGTTGTTTCTTTTGTTCCTAAACTACATGGACTCTTTGTAATAATGACTAATATCCTAATATTATAAAACAAACAAAGCAAAAGAGGTTTTCCCCAGAGGGAGTGGGAGGCACCCAAGGGAATGATGCAAGGACACTGTGCTGGGTAAAAGGAACAAGTGCAGCAGCAGTGGATGTGAAACTCGGCTCATGGAGGCAATAAAAGTACTTTAAAACCCTTAGTGTACAGTTGCACTTGTCCTCACTTTTCCTGTGTCTTAATCCAATCTAAACACACGACACGAAACACATATTTCTGGATTCAGTGTGACTTAAACTTCCCAAGGACGTCATTATCTCTGATCATAGGGGAAAATATCCTTCTAACTCCAGGACTTGTCTGAGAATCACGAGTTCTCTCAGTTTTGTCTGATGGGCAGCCCACAGTGTCAGACTTTGAACAGTCACTCATCCGTTTTTCCACAGTGAGGGTCCGGAGGTAGCTGGCGCCGAGGCTCCCGATGCCGCTGCCGCTTCCGACTGTTCGTCAGTACCTGAAGCAGCCTCCTCCTCATCAGCCGCAGCTGCTCCCTCCTCTCCCGTAGCGGCTGAGGAAGCCCCATCCAGTCCCAAGTTGGTGGTGGTGGAGGCGGACAGGGCCAGCCAGGTGTCCGGCTCAGGCTGCACCAGCCAGGCGTCAGTCGACGATGACGATGACGTGCCAATCACAGATATCTACTTTGTAAGTAAAACCCCTCTCTCTCACACACACACACACACACACACACACACACACACACATGCACACGCACATATAGCCTCACACATGTAAACACTTTTATGTACTTTTAGATGCTTTTAGAAATTGTTCCTGTGAAGACAAAAGTAAACTCATCTCAGACTAGGACTAGCTCTTGTCACTTCTCATCTTTTTGAGTTTCATATTTTTATTAAGTCATCAAATCATCTCAGTGTCAGGATCAATGTGTTAATGGTTGTAAAGACTGAGCTGTATGATGCTCTCCTACAGAGGCGTTGAGACAAGGACCACAAAAAACAGGTGGAGACTCAGACTGGTACGGGAACAAGAGCGTGTGCAGTTACTGCTTGATGTGTGTGGTGCATTCAGTTAAAGGACATGTTTGACATTTTGGGAAATATGCTTAAATATGCTTTTTGCTGGGAGTTAAATGAGAAGTTGTTATGCTAAGCTAAGCTAATTGACAGCAGGCTGTAGCTTCATATTTACAGTAGAGGCATGAGAGTGGTGTCTGTCTTCTCATCCAGCGAAAAAAGAGAATAAGCATATTTCCTCATGTGTCAAACTATTTCTTTGAACACAGTGTATTGCAGTGTGCACAATGTGTTTGCAGAGTGATAATAGCATGTGCACCATCACTTTGCTGTTCCTCTCTAATACGACCTTCAACAGCTGCAGACACACTTGCATTTTGTGTAAATAACTAAAGCTTTTGCAATTTGTATATGCTCAGTCGATGGGAGCATCCTGCTAAAGTCAACTGTGTTAGTGTTGTGTTGGCAGGTGTAAATGTGCCCAAAAGCCCAGCTATAAATGAATGTATGAGTGTCAGGTGGAGCATGGAGAGTAAAGCCACTGATCACAGTTACAGATAGAAATGTTCCCGGCTGGCTTCACTCCTACTGGGTGTCACCTATCAGGAATCAAACACCCTCTAATGTGGCATGAGAAATCCTAATGGCCAACAGGTTAGTCAGCGAGCTCTCTCCAGTTATTTAACAGCCCTCTCAGCTGACGGGCTCTGGCTGATGCTCAGTTCATACTTCAAAAGGAGGAGATACGCTCTCTGTACACGGCAGCAGGGGGTCTGTAGCGCTGCATGAGGCGAAGTGACACTGAAGTGTAACTACACAGAAACACGCTGCAGGCAGTGTGGTCACAAGTGGCCTCTAGGGAGTGACCACATATGCTGTTAACACACTGCCAAACATCCAAAACACACGTATCCTGGATATGCAATATGGACAGGAACATTAAAACTTTCAGCATCTCTACCACATCACTCAGTCTGGTCATTTAGCAGCTTATTCAGCCAACTCGTCACTTGATCATCCTTTGCGCCCCCTGTGTGTTTCTGCTATCTCTGTCATCGTCGTCACTTCTCCTCCCTGACATCCCACACAAATCAGGTCTCTGCATGACCGCTCAACCTGCTCTTTCCATTGATAAGCGCCTCAGGTGTTGGTTCACAACACTCACAGAGAAAAGAAAGAGCCGCTGGACAGAAATTTCACTGTCATCCGCTCCTATATTACTGAAATTGTTTCTCATGGTTCAGGAGTTCCAGCTGCCAGAGGCAATTTCTTAACCAGTTCAAATCCTTATTGTTGTGTATTGTGAAGCGGTGGAAATATTTTCTCAGACAAAAATCCATTGCTTACATAATTGCTGCTTGTGCATTGAAAATTAGAAGACCCAGTTCAATTGTATATTGAACAACATGTCTGTACATTTGATCTAATTTCATTTGTTTTATTATTGGGTTAGGTTGGTTTATGGTTCAGCTGCTCCATCACAAAAACACTGCTGCCTTGAGGATCAAAATAAATCAGTTTTCAGTAACACTCAGCAACTTGCAATTCTATAAGAGCGTACATTTTTATACAAAACAAAATTATTCTCATCTCTTTGCCTCTGTTTAGTGTACAAACAAACAGCAGGAGCAACCAGTTGTTGTTAAAGGCTTTAAATTATACAGTGTGTGTGGAAGAAAGAGGCGGAGAATATGTTTGAATTTTGATACAAGAGATAGCAGCCATTGAGATCGTGTAGCTCCTCAGGGAAAACACTGCATCATTTAGCTGTGAGATGTGCGTGTTTGTGTTTGTGTGTGTGTGTGTGTGTGTGTGCGTGCGTGCGTGCGTGTGTGTGGTCACTTAACAGGTTCCTCAGAGTGGCTCGTGTCTGAATTATTCAGCCACTATCAACAGTCTCCACATTCACTTTTCATGATTCCCGCTTTGCCGTCCTTCACCTCTCTACTCTACCACATCTGATTGTTTTTCTTCTTTTGTCCGCTCTCCTTCATCTTCACCTCTTCCCCTCCACCCTCCTCCGCTCTCTTCTCTCATTCTACCCCAACTTTTAAATAATTCTCACCTCCCCCTGTTCTATCGCGACCCGACTCTCTCTTCTCCACCTCTCGCTCTTTCCACGCCCTCCCTCATTCTCAGCTTTTTCGCATTCCTCTGATTGTCGTCATGAGTCGTGATGAAAGTGGTGAGAGAGTAGCGTGCTGTGTGGTAGGGGGAGATGAAAATGGAGTGACTGCCACACCTGTGAATGTATTTGTGTCATCATTGATTCAGTGTATCTCTGCTGGGTTACACACATCCATGACAACCTTTTCCATTTTCACCTCAGCACATTTCTCATTTTTTTATCATGTTATTTCACCTGTCCTCACTCCTCTGTCCCTCATCTCTATATGTCATATCTCTTTTTGTTTGTGTCATGTGTCATGCTCCCCTGTTGTTGTCAGTTTCCTGATGGGAGGACCTGGGTGGTCTCTCCTCTCCGACAGAGGAGGAAATGCCAGTCCAGTTTGCCCGTAAGTGAGAAGAGAGATGGTAGGGTACCTGGTTGCTGTCCTGGTATTAGGTTAGATTATTGCTTGTTTGTTTGATGAAACATATGATTACAGTGTTGAGAGGAAACAAGATTTTTTTTTTGGAGTGTGCCGCAAGAGCCGCAGCTTGTCATGATTTGTGGTTTACCCGCTGCAGGTGTTTGTGATTGTGTTGAAACTAAAAAACAATGCCTACACTCCCCATAGTGAAGACAATAAAGTGTGGGAGGTGGGTAAACAAAAGACAAGAAGCCTCTTAATTGACAGTGTTTGTCTTTCTTTTAATCTTGTATTAATCTTCTTTTAAATTTGTTTCCTCACTCACTGACATCCCGCCTCCTCCCTCTTCGCACCTGTGTGGATCGTGTGTAAGCTCCAACGTGCTGAGCTTTGTGTGTGTGTGTGTGTGTGTGTGTGTGTGTACATTCCATCAACCCACTCCACCTCCGTCACCATCGCCAACATACCGTGTTGCAGTTGCTTCTCTCTCTTAAAGGGCTGGTACCTTCAGTAACAAGGAACCTACTGAAGCTCTCAGAGATTCTATGGAAAGAGCACTTTTGCTTGTTGGAAAGGGAAAAAAAAAACCATCCTATTCTTGTGTTTTGCTTTGACTGAGGATGCTTTCTGTGTCTGACTGTCTTGGCATCCTGGCTTTCTTCCCATTCCAACCTCCTGATTCCCACTCCTCATCCTCCCCTGTTTGGCTGATGCAGCGACTCATCCCTCGCTCTGTACACCTCACTTTGCGTCCCAGGAGCTAGTCCGAATGGGGCTAAACAGATATATGATTCATACACACTTCAGTAAGACCCATAATATTTACAGCACTCCTCTTTACCAGCACAGCCAGTTATTTGCTAATATTTACATCTTTGTTCAAGTCTGCTAACTGCTGAAAGGATTAACACATCCTTTTAAAGACTTTTGTTCTATATGTCAGATTCACACTTTCAATGTGTCTCAGCAACATTTCCTCCTTTATGCATCCCTAATTTTCATTTCCTGTCTTGTCCTCTCTTCTCCTGTGATCTCCTGTGTCTTTCTCTCCTGCCTGCCCCTGCTGCTTGTCTCTGTGCCTCTGGCCTTTCCTCTGTCACTCTGGCCCCCTCTGCTGTGGTGGGTGTGTAAAAACAGCCTCCAGAGGACAGGACCTGGGTGTACTCTCCGCTACACTATGGCTCAGAGTCTAAGGCCCTGCCAGATGGGGATTGGGAAAGAGAGACAGTAAGTGAGAAGCATCGGACTAAAATATACAGTACAGGAGAAATCCCTTAGACAAGGTATAAATTCAGTCCTAGACCATGTTGTTTGGTGGTGATCGTTCATCCATCACAACAAGGATGGAAAGGATGAGTTGTAACTTTACCCTGTGTAAGAAGCTTCTACAGTAAATGTAGAGAAAGCTTTCTCAGGTCCCAGAGTCTATTATTATTCCAAGGGTAGGCTTGGTCTGTGTCCAGAAACCCACCCCTGCATTACAGCATTCATTCCTCATTGATAAGTGGGTGGAAATGGTCAGTGGCTGCCTGCATGACCATTTAGTCCACAGCCAGCCATCCTGTTTCCCTCCAACAACAAGCTGCTCAGAGTTTACGACACCATTTTACCGCATCGGCCTGTGTGAAGCCATTACACTCATGCATCTCCAGACTCCCACAGCTCATGTTGTTAGATGTTCACAGTTCGAATGTGTACACTCAACCTACAGATGAGTCACATTTTACAGAACATGCTCATCAAACAATTTGTCCCAAATGTTTTCTTCAGTGTTAGGCAATGTGGAGGAATTTTTGAAGATGTAATAATATATATTGAATTTATGTGCTTTTGGTCTTTTAAGTTTACTTTGAGAGTTTATGGCTCAAGAGTTTATTTTCAATGTTAAAATACAAACCCAGACAGAGCTTTGGTAAATCTGACAAATTAGAAACGTGGGTCAAAATGGAAATTACTTAACTTGGCTTTGACTATTTTCCTTTAGAAGTTTTATATGAGTTTGTCCTTGGCAGGCTGCTTGTCTACTTTGTTCAGTGTAGCAGCATTTGCTCACAGTGCACTCTGTGCTATCCTCTGATTAGGTGTGATCAGCCATTAATTTTTTTCCAACTCATTTTGTTCTTCATCTTTTTCTCACCCTAGATATTATGTCCCAATCAGGCTTTTTTCACATGTTACAAAAGATAGAAACAAATATCAAAAATATTTGGCCCTATTGAAAGGAATGGGATGTTTCATTTTCCAGTTTAAAATACTACCACACTGCAAACATGCAAACCTTTCTGCTGTTGTGGCTCACGTCCAGCCCAGTGAACTCAGACACATGATGTGCTTAGAGTTGGGTTGGAATAATGGAGCAGATACAGATGAATTAAAATATTTCATGTTGGCTCAGGACACCATTATTTTACAGCATTAGTTGATCCAAGACATTCCACTAAATGTCTTTAAGATGCGAGCAGACTCAGACTGCTGTAGCCCACAGAGTACACAAACCTTCGCTCTATTATCACTTTAATGTGTGATACATGAATACTGTGCATCTTGACTTTTCCTATTTTCAGGTGTGCAGGGGTGTTTGCTATGTTAAACTTTTTTCTCCTTGCCTTACCCATTCTGTTTTCCTATGTCCACTTCCTTTTATAAATTGCACTTTGCCATTAGCAAGTAATGCATGAGAAGATACACATTTTATTCCCTGTGGACATCAGTGTGTCTATGATGTGTACACTCTGCCTAATACATTCACTCTGTGTATCTCCAACAGTAAACCCTGTTCTCTGGCAGAAAGGAGCGAACGTCTCAGTGGAGAGGACTCATCTGTCTGAAGTCCAGATCTCAGCGGTAGCAGCAGGATCTCTGTCTGAGCCAGGATTTTAAACATGCATACAGAAACTGAACACACTGAGGGAGGAAGTGACTGAAAACCAGAGGGGGGAAAAAAATCCTGACAGTGACAACATCACTGATTTCCTACCATCCCTGCCTTTCACCCTTAACTAATGAAAAAGATATCAATTTAACATGTGTATGTGTGACATAGTGCGTATAAGGCTGTATGTAGTCTTATATGTTTGACATACATGACAGACAGAAGTAACTTACTGTATGTTCTGCTTCACACAAGCACAGCCCCCCAACAGGCTCTAAACTGGCTGTCCCACTCACTCTGCAGAGCAGCACATAGAGTTGTGAAGTGAGGGGAGCCGCTGGTTACTCTGAATCCCCAATTCAAACATTTTTTTTTTTAATGATGTCTTCAATACAGAAGACTCAACGTAGAAACATGGGAGTCTCTGGGATAGTATAACAATGCTGTATGTTTGTCTCATGGCTTTAAGTTTTTAATTATTTAAACTTTGTTTGTGAAAAAATCACATTTTCACATGTTGGATGGGTCCAAATACAACAGTTCTTTACAGTATGAGCCTCTGCCGCCTCATGCAAAAGGAGACAGAGGCGAAAATCAGAGCTGTATCAAATTCAGAACACTTTGTCATTGTAGTTATGAGAAAAAACTTGGTCACTGAATTAATCCAAAATTGATCCAGAATCTGAAAATGAATTAATTTAAGCTTTAGATTGTGTCAGTTTTTTTGACCCCATAATCTTTAAATATTAATTTTTAGCTCAGTGAGTGGATGTTTCTTAATAAAATGCAATGGGAGACATACTTAACTTCTCATTTTACCATTTTTATCAAATGAAGAAAGAACTTGATATTTAATACAGTAGAATAAGTAGTAGAATAAGTATTATTCATATTTTGTACTGAGGATTCAACTTGGACAGTTTCATATCCATCCAGGCCATAGCAGCACTCCAACTGTGAGTTTAACATTGTCAGTGAAGAAAATTAATCGCACTGAAATTTCTAATGCCAGGACTTCCTGAAGTAGCTCCTCCCACCTCACGAACTCTACTAAAATTTGCATGGACCGGTTCGACCAATCAGGACAAGCCGACCAACCCTCCTTTGTACTGCCTTTCTATTCAGCACGCCGCATGCAGATTTCAGTGCGCTCACTGGGGAGTGAGTGGTCAAGCCTGTGGTGTTAGGAGGGCTGTGCTTGTGCTCATAGAACTGGAGTTACAATGATAACTATTGTTTGACCAATCAAAACAAAACCTCTAGACATACGTCATCCTCACATTTCCAGTAGTGAAAATATGCAGTTTAGTTTATAGAGGAAAGAATTAAAAGACATCATTTCCTTTAGTGAAGATAAACAGTGATTACAAGTTGTTGAATTCCTAGCATAATAATTTATATCAAATGTTTTTAAGTTTTTTTTCTGAACGTTTCTTCAGCTGTTTTACTACTGTGAACTTTAATTTATTTTGTCTGTTTGTATTTTATTATAAATCTTCACTGTTACTGGTACTTTTAACTTTGTAATGCTGTTTTTCTTTTCGGTTTGCTTCCAAAGAACTTTAATTTTTGTTTTGATCATTACATCACTGCAGCTTTTTAGTAGTTTCCCAGTTTGTCATGTAAATTCAGTGTTACTACTTTTTTCACTACAGCTCTTGTGGAAACGGCTGAGGCTCATGACTATTGCCTTCAAATTAGACGGCATTAATTACAACACTAAGGCAGCAGACATTGTCAGTCATTACAGTAATCTCCACATCGTTACAATGTCTTCCAGTGTTGCCCTATTTTTGGACAAGACGCACACATTTTCTCTTTTTGTTTTTAGGTGGAGGAATAATCAGCATATCAGTGACATTTGCTATATCTGGTCTCCCTCACCTCCTCACAATAGGATATCCATTGACTGGACATTTCAAATGTTTGTAGATGTAGAGCATCAGTTGTAGTATTTGCAGTCAATATCGTACCTGTTATCTGTATATTTGAATGAACACAGTGCGTCGCAGTGATGACTTGGTGAGACACAGCAGTTCGTAAATGGGTTGAATGTTGTTTGCACTTATAAAGAGGACCTGAAGATGAACTAGTGATAGAGGCCAAATAAACATAACATCACATTATCATACTTTTTCAGTTGGTATATAGGAGTTTCTGCTCACACAGGCTGATATTTAGGCAGCATTTATTTTAGGGTTATCAAGTGTGTGTGTGTGTGTGTTGGTGAAGTCAATCACGGTCATTGTATGGTTAGTGTTTACTGTAGTCTCTTTGTGGCTGACATCTTAGGACTCTCAACTACGAGTTAAGTTAAAGTTCAACAAACCAATTTTTTAAATCTAACTTCAGAAACCGTTTCTTCAGTCGGTTGGTATGTTTCTATGTGTGTTTGTGTGTAAGAGAGGACACATCAATGTCAGACATTGTAAAATAGAAATCAGTTCATTCTCATGTGCAGTGGCCAGTTGTAATCAGTTCGCTGTTGATCATCAGATGGAGACCATAGCAGCAATATTTTGTACAGTCTAGCTTTTGAGTTATTTTAATTGCCTTATTGAGAAATTTTACATGTAAGCCTATCATTTGTATTTTTTTCACTTGTGCTGTTGTATTTATTTTCTTTCTCATAGTTGTGCTCCTGAGAATGTGTACATAAAATTATAAATACATATATAAAGATATACAAATATATTTTCCATTTGAATCGGAGAATATTATTTTTATTTGGTTTTATTTTTGCTGCTGGGCAAGAAATGATTGCAATCTACATAATTTACTGTATCATATTCTTCAGTGTGTTTATTGAGATGCAGCTGCTGTATATTTATGGTCTATAAACCACAGCTGTTTCTTTGTAAGATATCCAAAATGGAAAGATTTGTGGGTTTTACTGTCCATGCAAATCGATAGGGAATCTTCCAACTGTTCAGCTGTGTTGTGTATGTGTTTTCAAATCGCGGTGTGCCCTCATCCAATAGAGAGAGTCCTTTACAGAGACATAGCATGATTTCAAAATGAATATGCATATCAGAAATGTGTATTTATGTATATCTGTGTATATTCATCTATTTATACGTGAGGATAAATAGATGGCTGTATGTGTGTGTTTGGACTCAATCAGAATGAATACAAAATAAAGCAGTTCTATGAATTGTTGTCCATGTAGATAATGTCATGTTATATTTTCATTAACTCCTTGCTGAAATCATTATACATCTAATCTGAAATGAAAATTAGAACATCTTCAGTTGTTCTCCAAGCATGGGATTTGTCACTAAATTTACATGTAACCATTAAAGTAAATAGAATGGAAAATATAAGATCAATTACAAATGGTACAGTGTTTCACCATCATTAGTCGACACAGTTATTGCTGTATGCAATATTAATTCTCTGTCCTATTTACCACATTGTAGTTTGTCTTCAGTTACAACAGACAGCCCCTGAAGGCAACAGCTTTGCCAAATTAGTCCCAAGTCTTGACAACTCTAAGACTATGCACAGCAGAATAATTGTTTCCTTCCTGGTATTGTGGGATATTATGAACATGGCAATCTGCCAGTTAGATTTTGAAAATTTGAGCCTGATGGTGGTGCTTCATGAGAGGCCAAGGGGGTTGCCAAACTGATCAGAAGTTGTTCATGGAAATCTGGCCAGTCGCTGTTGAGATAAATTTCCCATCTGACCAAAATGTTGGACGGGTGGATTAACCAGCCATCACCATCCAGGCCTGCCAGTGGGAAGAGAGGAGTGAATTTGCAGATGCAAATGCAGAATGCTGGGAACATCACCCGAGGCCAAGATTAAGTTACTCCCTTCAAGCACAGCCAGAGACCTCAAATGTCCATTTCTGCCAGTATAAAGTAAGCTCAGAGCACACCAGAGGAGGAATCTCAAATCCAATATACCTTGTAATTTAAGGAATACAGAATAACTGTGTCATCAAAGGTCACTGTATATAAAAATGGACCTCAGTAAACGTTTTCGTTATGTGTTTATGGTCTGAATCGCTAGTTTGAAGTTTTCTTGATTACAACATGATGTTCATTTTTCAAATCATGGTCCTATTTAAAAGAAAATAGACGTTAAAGCAGAGTGGGTTTAGGGCGTGATTGACACACAGGTCCGGATAGAGGCCAGAGCGTTGGACATTTGACTTGTCATTGTGTTTTCAGTTCACCAAAGTTAGCTCCAACATGTTTGCCTGAAAATGTCTTGTTCGGCGTTCAGTTTTTAAAAGGAGTCAGTTGTTCATTTTTTTTCTGGTAAGTACATTTTGTTTTAAGCCTATTTTTTTGCTAGCCAAAATTAGCATCCCTGTTAATATCACAGTTCAGGTGAAGACGCACCTTGCTAACCAAGCTAGCCAGCTACTGCTAGCGTTAGCTGATAACTTAGCGATTGCTATGCTAACGGTACCTGGGCCCGCTGGGCAGGTAACCTGTGTCTACCTGGGTTAGCCAGTGGAGGTGTTCAGTCAAAGCCTATTAAAAAGGTACATTTAATCGACGGTAGTCCAGCGATGTTTGGTTTGTGTTTCTCCCACATGTGACCCAGTTTAAGTGATCTGCGTTAGTGTAATGCGCAGCGTTAATGTTAGTTAATACATTGTCCATCAAGACCTGTGACATGACGTATACAAAATATGTAGAAAAATATTTTTCATATAGAAGATTGTTCATTTAATACTCAAACCAGTCCTCAACTGAAGCAGACATTCATGTCTATCTCTAGATCCTGTATTGTCACTGTTGAAGGTGAGCCACATTTAAACATTTCTACACATCATTGTTGTTTATTAAAGCCAACATAGAAAGTCTTGTGATTAATTACAAATTCAGGAAAAACTTCAATGTGTTGTGACCAGACATGCTCCATAAAAATCAACAAAGCAAAGCTTCATAAAAAAACTTTATTTAACATTAAATTTACATTAATTTCAACAATTTACACCACTGGAGAGGTGTACAAAAGAATGTAATAAATGGATGAATTAAATAATGCGTGCAATTTACAATCATCTGTAGCTGACAAATTAAAGATAAAAGTTTGCATAATAAAGAGGGGTGGATAAATCGTATTTAGTAACAACTTGAAATTATAGTAGAAATGTAAAAATAATACTTCATAGCTAAGAGAGGATAGTGCAACAGTCTGACAGGTTGACTGTAAGCTACTGCAGCTGTCCATGAGTGATGGAGGTAAGGTGCAAAAAGTCCAGGAGCCGTTATCCATCATCAGTCTGAGTGTGTGACACAGTTTACATGCAGCAGACTCACAGTCTGAGGGAGAACCTGTTCTGAAGTCTGTTCATGTTCTGCAGCAGAACCAATTTAAAACACAAGGTTAGTATACGTTTTACAGTGTTTTTACAGTTTAACGTTAGTGCACATGCTAACTTCAACTACAATAACATTACAAGTTACTCCTCACAAATATGATATTTGCCAAATGCGGTTGTATGCAATTAGCCTATAAGACTAATTTAACAGTTAGATTACCTCGAATTGTGACAGCTAACCGTGTTTGTGAAACAACCTGCATACTCGAAAATATCTAAATCAGATGGATGTTGCTCAATCTGCAAGAAGACAGGGCGTCAAACTTTGGAGAACAAAGGGTGCACTGCCTCTTCGTGTTCTCTGCTGTGCGCGATGATTGGTCAGCATTTTCAAAAGAAAGTAGTTGATTGGTTAATCTTTTGTCAGTCTATAAGATAACTTTTCCAATTGGTCCAAATCGACGTTGCTAAACTCACGTGCTAGTGCCCTTCCTTGAAGGCGGTGCCTACTAGCTGCCGGTGAAGAGGGCTGTTGTTGTTGTTTGTGGGAAAGTACTTCAAAAGTACAAAAACTAGTGTTGTAAAATGGGAACCCGAGATGATGAATACGACTACTTGTTCAAAGGTAATTTCTTCTTTAAAGGTGGGCGAATGACAGCGCGTTCGTCCTCTTTATAACAGTTCGTGACGGGAGGAGGAACTGAGGAAGTCAACTAAGCCAGCGTTAATGCTAAAGTCAGCTCTGCTAGTAGCAAAGTGGTACACGATAACATGACGACTGTCGAGCTAACTCTGTAGCCACCACTACTACTTATTATAAATTCATCCAGCAGTGTGTAGTACTAGAACAATTCCTCGTCAATAGTGTGATTTTTATCCTCGCAAACCAACCAGCGAGTCCAGTGGTGGCATTCAACGCTGGGGAATTAGCAGGCTAACGTTAGTTAACTAAGCGGCTATATAAGCAGCTAGCATGCTAACATGAAAGCTACCTGGCCTCGTTATAAACAATCACCTGAGACGACCTGACGTTCACCTGAAACGACAAGAGAGTCAATGGCTGCTCTCTGACAGAGGCCGTACATTAAAACGTGTTTACTTAAAGAGTTATCAAAGCTCAGGCCACTCAGCTAAGTTGTCAAGTTGTTAAGCAGTGAACATAACCGCTCCCTGATTTTCTCTGTGCTGCTGATACGCTTCATCTTTTATCAGTATCGTTGGGGTTAAGAAGAGCTACAGTTAAAACTTAAATTAGGAGACAAAGGCAATTACAGACCTATGGTAATAAGAAAACCTAATTGTTACATTATAAAACTAATAAAAACAGTGAATTTATCCAACTCATCAGTGCATCCTTAAGCATGATGGGAAATGAATGTCATACAGATTAAAGTGAAGTCCGTGAGTAGGACCAGAACTAATAAAAAAAGATCTTGCTGTAACTTATAAAATACTTAATATGCACTGCACTGTACTGTATGTATCTTTTTACATTTGTGATCTACAAAGGTGATCTGAAATGACTTGTATTCTTCACAGACTGGACTAAAGCTTAGAAATGTTGCTCTCACTGATTCTGTACAATTGCAGTATGGATAGGAAGACTGCAAACTCAGCTCTAGCATGATCATTCATATTTTAAAGTTTGTCAGACTTCTGTTGTAATTTTTTTGTGGGGTGTGTGTTTTGGTTCTAGTTGTACTAATCGGAGACTCTGGAGTGGGGAAGAGTAACCTGCTGTCCCGTTTCACAAGAAATGAGTTCAACCTGGAGAGCAAGAGCACCATCGGTGTGGAGTTTGCCACCCGCAGCATCCAGGTGGACGGCAAGACGATAAAGGCTCAAATATGGGACACAGCTGGACAGGAACGCTACAGAGCAATCACTTCAGCGTGAGTTTGTGTTTTTTAAGTGTTTATACAAGTGTATATTGTGCTGCAATAGAGTTGATGTACTCGTCTGGTTTTATCCGGTAACCAGGTATTACCGAGGTGCAGTTGGGGCCCTCCTGGTTTACGACATCGCCAAGCACCTGACTTATGAGAACGTAGAACGCTGGCTGAAGGAGCTGAGGGACCACGCTGACAACAACATTGTCATCATGCTGGTTGGAAACAAGAGCGACCTCCGCCACCTCAGGGCAGTGCCCACTGATGAGGCTCGAGCCTTTGCAGGTTAGTGTTGCCACTGGGTAAACAACACTGCATTTAAAACAGAGTTATGCAATTTAAGGAGAATTCTGTAAAACACAAACAAACAAGAAAACACTCCTCGGTTTGACCACTTAAACAAACCATTTACTTGACAAATATGCTGAACCTTGTAAGTTATTATCCAAGATGTGTAAAATTTATGTTGTGTTCACTATTTCTCATACTCAGAAAAGAACACTCTCTCATTTATTGAAACCTCAGCCTTGGACTCCACTAATGTAGAAGAAGCCTTTAAGAACATTCTGACAGGTAAGAAAAGTGATAAATTGCTGAACATAATTTGCAGCTTGCCATAAATCTTCAAGGTTACATGACTCCTAATTTTACTGAACCGTCACTGTTTTCTCTCATAGAAATCTACCGTATTGTATCTCAGAGGCAAATATCGGACAGATCTGCACATGATGATTCTCCAGGCAACAATGTAGTGGACATAAGCGTCCCCCCAACGATGGACGGGCAGAGGGGCAACAAACTCCCCTGCTGTCAAAGCCTGTGATACTTGTGTTTTCTTTTCCTGTTTGACTTTCTGTCAGTCTTTCCTCTCTTCGCCTCTGCTTTACTTCAGCTGTCACGCTGCTGTCAACATGATACCCTCATTGGTTCAGATGTCTCTGATCCAAGACTCTTGTAGCTGACATTCCTTTTTGCTGGTTTCTTTTTTTTTTTTTCATTGTTTTTTTTTTTTTTTCTTCCTCTGATCTGATTTCAACCTGTGTCAATATAACTTTATGACCTCATAATAGCTTTGAGAGGGAGGAAGTGTTTGCTATTATGAGGCTGATCTCAAAGCTGTAGTAAACTACAAATTCCTTTTAATTAACCAGCGTTATGGTCCTATTGACCTGCTCCTGTTGAAGGAACGGTGAGGGATTAGCAGGCCTCTTTATTAGTGTTCCAAGTGGTTACTACTTGTCTCCTTTTCTCAGCCTGCAATGACTTATGATCTGTTAAAGTGGAATCCTGGTTTCATGTCTAGTTGACCTGATTCTGCCTGTCATGCAATACGGGTGTAGAAGAGGAGAGGAGAAGAAGGTAATGCATCAATACTTTGGAGTATTAATGCATACTCAATTTGGAGTTTGTGGTTGCCTATTTAATTTTAATTTCCCCCTCTGAGCCCTGTGCCCTCTGTGGCATTAAATTAGCATGAGCCAGGGACCAGACTGGCTGTGACTGTCTGACTTAATATGGGCAAGTGTGAAACAAATGAAGTGTTTTTATTTGTGTGTGCATGTATGAATGTGTGTGTGTGTGTGTATGTGTGTTAATCTTAGTGCACAAAGATACCAAAGGAGACAGATGCAATCAGTATCAGTTTGGGTTTTCTTATTTATGCGTGTTCAAGGCTGCTAGTATTGCAGACCATTGCTGAATTTGGCCAATCCAGTCCAGGCTATTTGGGGAAAAAATTGTGTAATGCTACATAGCAAAAGTGTTGTTATAAATTGTGATGATTTTTTTTTTTAATGAAATGAAAATAGTATCAGCCTGGGACACGCCTAGCAGGCTGTCTTAAAATGAAAATCTTTCTTGCACTTATGTCCAAAATTTCAGTGGAATAAATCATCTTATATTTTTAAATACACTCAACATCTTTATTATTCAATGATATTTTCCTGATGCTTGTAAGGGAAACTGTGTTGGCTGAAAAGAACAAAATGCACTATTTGTTATGCTTCTTTTTTTTAAGCAATTTCCCCTCATGTACCTTGAATGTGAATGTGATATCTGTTAAAGGAGAATGGATAAAGATGTGTGTGTAATCTGAGAACATTTTCACTTCGACTCCAGCTGGTAGCAGTTGTTAGCAGGGAAAATGGAACTGAAAGTCAGAAATGCAAATTGTTTACATGGTTGGCTGAAAAGCCACTTTCACCCATCTGGTAGAAATACTTCCATGTGTGATTGATTTGATACATTATGTCTCATGAAATTTCACATTTCTTCAAATAATAGGTGTAAAGTCAGCAAACATAAACTTGTTTTGCTACCTTAACACTACACAGAAAATACTGAAGCATAAATAAACCTAATTCACATGAAGCAGGCATACTTATTTTTGGATACATTACTCACTCAGTGAGCCCATAACTTAACACTGTGTCTGCCACTGTTGTTTAGCAACTGTCATAGAGTCAGTGGAGCTGTTTGTACACAGCATGTACAAACATGCATGCAGCCTCACCTGACACTCTGCCTTTACAAATCCACACACATGATGGCCAGATCATCTAACACTTCACTGCATTTATGCATCAGAGGCAGGCTCCTTAAAGTACTGGATACTTGGCTTCAGACATTTTTCATTTTCATTTAAACTAATTTTTATAAAACTACTTAATTTTTTAATAAAAATTGGGTTATTATGTACAACTTTGTAATTAATAATAAGGTTGTAGATTGCTTGTTCAAACTAACATGGTTAATTATGTAGCTCTCTGTTTTCACAAGCATCGTTAACCACAATCAAAAAAAAAATACAGTCCTACTTCTGCTTATTTTTCCTGAACGTTTTACCCATGTGATGTTTTCGGGTTAGCGCCCCTCCCTTCACTTTGGTAAGCTGTTATTCACACCCCCATCTGAATTCGTCCGGATGGTGTTGGGCTCTCGGTTAGCCTGTGTTGATGTGTTCAACGCAGAGGCAGACAGCTGATGATGAGCCTCCTGGGTGTATTTAAAGACCGGGGAAAGCGGAAGTCTGGCCCGCTGTGTGATATCAGCTGAGAAGCTCTAGCTAGCACAGAGCTGAACAGCGTCTACCATTAGCCAACGGGAGTACTGCGATTTGGCCAATTCATACACACAGCGAAACATGAAACGAGAAGGAAATGCGAATATACTAGGGCGATAATGCCTGTCACCGTAAAACACTGAGAAGAAGACCACACGGGGGTGAGTAGACCGTTTTTAGTTTTTATCTTGACAGCAGCCGACGGCTAGCGGCTCACTGTAGCTGCTGACAGCTGGCAGCTAGCAGACAACACAGCTGTGACGGGCACCGACTGACCGCGTTTATTTACTGGACAATGAAATCAGGCAGCAAATTGATAGTGACAACAAAATGGACGTGGATAGCCGGTGCTTATGTCCTAAATATGTAAACACTGCTATACACAGGCAATTTGTGCCGCAACGCAGTTGTAGCACATTATGATATAGACATGACACAACCCTCTCAGTTCCAGATGATAGTCTGGATCAAAGCTGTAACATCTGGCTGCCGCGGCAACGTTAGCTGCATTGAGTCGGAATGAAAAGGAAAATGACTTTGTCAGCATGGTAGTTTTTTAAAGGCATAATGTAGCAGTATGTATGTCCATCACTATTTTCAAATGTTAGAGTTACATACAGTGTAATTGAATGTAAGTTTCTCATCTGAAGATTTGATTTGAAAATGCATTAGTCTGTGTGTTTACATGCATCACTAGGTTTAAAAGACTTGTCTGAGTTTTGGGCCTACCCTTTTGTTTTTTTGGGTCAGGGATTGTTCCTCTTAATCGTGCCTCCATGGAGGGATACTGTAACTGTTTTCCATTCATTTAAATGGGGTTAAAATGTCATCTGACCAGGGACCTTTATATCAAAATTCAGGTTCAGGCCTTCAGGCTTTATCCCCTGGATAACCAGTCTCACAAAGGTTTTTTTTTTTTTTTTTTTTTGTCTGGCTCTGTTAAGTCTGGCTTTAACAGCCATGGCGTGGTTAAGAGCACCATAGCTAATAGCAGACAAGTTTAAACTGTCAACCATTTGGATATTGGATCACTGCAGTGGCAAAAACTAATATTCAGCAAGGTAAATGTTATAGAAAAGAAGCATATAATTATAATACATAGAAATGTTACAACACTCAAATTACTGCAGCTCTGTTTTAGTTTTAAACTAGATCAAATGTTTTTTCTCCAAAAACCTGTATTTATCATTATAGAGTGTAAATTGTTGTATTTATTATTCATAAGAAGATAGAATAAAGACACGATACCCCATAAATTATCGCAAGAATTTCTGCACCATCTGCCATGTTAAACCTCTTGTTTAAAAACAACACAACAACATCAGTGTTGAGCACAAAGGATCATATAAGGACTGGAGTAATGCGGCGACATGTACAGCTACAGTTGGAGAGCCAGGCCTTATGTGAACAGCAACAACAACCCAGTATTTACCCCTGACAAATACACAAGTATGAGTGGCATTTTAAAGAAAAACTTGAAATGCCTACACATGTATCAGACACAGGCTTTTTTGGAAATTGTTGCTCATGTTATTACTCTTACTGTATCTATTGTCTCATCACAATAAAAACATTACACTTAGAAATATCCATTCATTCATTTCGACAGCAACACATAAACTACAGGCTGTAGCAAATTCAGCTGTGTCTTTAGCTCTCTTATCTTTAGTGAGGGGTTATCTGAGGGGAGACAGCTGTTTATCAGTCTGCTGCACATCACAATCGCTGCCACAGACGATCAAACTTGCTTTTACAATGGATTAGCAGATGCTTTGGGCAAATTGGCCCATTTCCAAACAGACAGCTTTCTTTTAAATGACAAAATGTCTGTGTAGATAATCTTAGTTATTCTCACATGGCAGGAAATCATTGGCCCATGAAGCGCACTTCAAGATGAACTCTGTCATAACATATAGCTAAGTGTCCCTAGAACTAGGCTGTCTTGGCCTAATTGTAATTCTGAAAAATCATGATATTGTCACAATACTGTTGATAATATACCTGACTGATTGTTATTGCTTTGGTACGGTATATATGATATGTATATATGACATACAATATCTTGTCTCATTTCACTAGTTTGAGTTTACATCTAACTGCTGTATCTCTTTACTCTGTTTATATTTTGCTTTTGAGGCAGCTTACTTTAGCTTCTGAATGATTTTATAATGTATTGGCATACGTTAGTACTTCAAATTACTGAAAGTGAAAGTACTCGTGGAAATGCCCATTTCATTTCATTTCAATATATTTTGTGTTATTGGATTATAATTATTGATTCATCAGTGTCTAAGGATTGCTTTGATGTTGTAGCTGGTAAAGGCTAATTTTAAAATGCTGCTGGGTAGCTTTAGCTACAATAATGCATAATAATTTATTTGTTGATTTATATTTTTGTTAATAATCTGAATCTATTTATAGTTGTAAAATAGATGTAGTACAATATATTGAGTACAAAGTAGTATAAAATGGAAATACTCAAGCCCATGTACCTCAAAATTCTACTTCATTACACTACTTGAGTAAAAGCACTTTTTTCCAGCACTGATATTGTTTATGTGAAAAAGCCATTAACTCTCAGTCCTTCTCTCTTCCTCTGTTTGTAGAAACTACACTTCCCCAACCCGTGGAAGAGCGGAGTTCGTGCTTCCTGATCCCTCCTTCATCCCTATATTCTGAGCCTTCACACCCTCACCGCCATCTCTACAACCAGCGTCTGGACACTGTAACCATGACGACAGGCGGGTGTTGCCACCTGCCTGGCTCTCTGTGTGACTGTGCCAGTAGCACGGGTCTATGGAAGAGTGTGGAGGAGGCAAGTGGTGACGGGTGCCAGGCGCTCTATGTCACCCAGGTCACAGCCATAGATGGACGGTTGCTGTCCTCTGTGCTCAAACCCATGGGCACACAAAGGTGAGGCTGATTTATGCCTACCTGTCCTCTTGGGACAGATGTTTGAATTTTAACAGTCCTGTGCAGTTAACAGGAACAGAAATGTCCATGACAAGTAGCTCACGGAGGCATAACTGCCTCTTGATTCATAATGTAGGCCTTTTTACAGCACACATTTTGACTCGTAGTAGAAAAGCACAGGCATTACTAATGATATTACGGTAACAATGGCATTTGTTTTCCTCTTCTATTCTAGTGTTTTAAATCTCATCCAAATCCTATTTATTCTCAAAGGCATTGTATTGATGCTTCTTTGCCCTGATTTGTTCTTATTTCTTGACCAATTTTTACTTACTGTTACTATTGCTAGTATAGCGCATTTATTCATTCAAATGCTTTTATCGTCTTTCTGTAACTGTGAAGGACATTGTGTCCCTGGTTTTGAAAAGTGATGTATAAATATAATGTTTTACTTACTTGCCATTCAAGCGTCTCAGTGTGACAGCAAGCCAACATGCTGGACCCTGAAACTCAAGCTGCTAAACGGAAATCAGGCATCATCGTTAATTTTATTATTCACACCGGTGCTTTCCCCACTGTGATACATCAAAATGTGTTCTGTGAAAAAGGCGTGCCGTTCAAGGTTCTCCTTGAAGGTATTTATCTTAACTATTTATACCCGGTAGGCTTCTTAATTTTTTCTAAATCTTATAAGGTTTGTTATGTTATATATTATATAATTATTTATTGAATCGCATTTAGGATATTATGGTTATTTTTCAGATTATAGCCTCATTTTGAGGTTAATCTCGGATTTGTTGGAGCATATTACTCATGTATAATTTTTTATGTAATTATATATGTATCAGGGGGATGAAAGTAACATTTTACTTTAAGCCTTTTCAAATGTTTAATAAATGGTTTATACACTATTATGTAGTCATAAGCAGATGGAAGTGTTTATTAATGTATTTGGTAACTACTGTACCTCCTTCTGTCAGCACCCATAAGTGAAGGTGTTTAAACACATAACGAATGACAATTTAGTAAAACACAGGTGTAGCAATGTAAAATATGTCTTCATAGGAGATGTTACAATTGGTGACAAATATTCTACATTAATAAACACTTTAAATGTGCTCATAACTTCATTTTAGTGTGTTATAAGCCATTTATTTAATGTTTATTCACTGCTTAAAAATTATAAATATGGGGGACTTAAAAGTGTTACCAAAATATATAGAATATATATGTGTTTATGGTTGCCTCCCTATTTGTCCTCTGATCTTTTTGTGTATTTGATCCATTTTTGAGGTTTCTGTATATAATATATTTTTAATTTAATATGCAATACATGAATTTACCCTAGGGGATAAATAAATTATCTATCTATGTATCTACCTATCAATCAAT